AAAGAGCCAAGAGCCTTACATTCGACTTCCTCCATGTAAATGTTGGCTACAATAGGCAATAGTGTGGTTTGTGATTCAGCTAAGCTGTAAACAAATTCCCCTTTTGGGATTATTAAAGTTATCCGAATCTGAATTAACTTATAAATGCAGATCCACAATCAACTGTGAGAACATTGTGCATTTAGTTCATTAAGAGAGATAAGTGGATATCCTGTTTCACCTGCATCTGTCCGTTCGCTCATGCAGGAGTAGACGGAGCACTGGAAGTCTCCTAGCGCGGCCCCTACTGGCGTGCCAGCAGGGATGCCGTGCCACTGAGAGCAGGTCTTTCCTGCCAAGCTACCAGATGGCACACACTTAGGAAGCAGGTGCAAAGGGAAGCCAGCACCCTTCAGACTAGAGGACACACACACACATACAGTGCTTGTTACGTATGCTTGCACTGATGCAAAAAGTGTTAGGTAAATGAGGCTGCAAACCAAACATGCACAACAGTTTTCATGCAGTAGGTGCATCTAGTAAAGTGTTGTAAAAAGGAAGGACGTTCAACACTATACAAACATGTTTTCGTTCCACTGATTGGATGACGTGTTGAAGAAGCCCCAGCTGGCTGCATTCTGGGGTGTCATCACACACCTGTCCAAACCGCACAGCATGGACACCACATAGTCCTGGATAGTACCTGCAACTGTAAAGTCCTCAAGGAATTTGGGTCTGCGGCAAAACCACACAGCTTCAGCTTTTGTATCCCAATTGCAAAATGTATTTATTTATAATGTATTTATTTTTAAAGATGTGAGCTTACTTGTGTTTCATGTACCAGAAGATTGTTGCACAGCCAAACCCCGTGGCGACGCTGAGATGAGAGTCTGGTCTGGGAAGAGAGGTGAGGAAGTCATTGCTGCAACGTCCATCTTGCCAGGTGATCAGCTGACTGGTGTCTTTGGCTGTTAAGGAATCACTATTGGACCAGACGCAACCTGGGTGGTGCAAACGACAGTCAACTGAGTGCTTACAACTTTAATACAACCCTTGTTTGAGTTGTTATGTTGACTGCTGTGTTCTTGAAAGATTCTGTCCTTTGCCCTGTCCTATTATCAGTCAACGTTGTTCTAAAGCCTCTGGATCCACTTAAACATTAGTCAAACTAAACTGCATGCTTATTTTAGATACCACTCTATACAGATACTCTATACGTATCTGTCGCTATTCTTTGTGACCATATGGATCGGTCCCTCATATTACCATTATTTCACCCAAAGGCACCAAGTTAATACTTAAAAAAGCTGCAACAATACACACAAATATAAAAAGTACTTGGTGACAACTTTGCTTTTAGCCTTTAACCCTCTGGGGTTCAGGGTATAACTGGTTGTTTTTTGACTACTTTTGATTTGTCCTCTATATTTCACCTTTAAAAACTGTTTATCTTGCCAATTCTGTTATTTTCACATTTTGACATACTGTATAAGCACAACTGATCTAAATTCAGACAAAATTTAAAATATGAGTAGAAAAAAAGTTATATTTTTGACTGTAAAAAACACAAACATGTTTTACAAATCATTTTCATAACTTGAAATGCAAATAGAAATTGTACATTT